CCTATGGGTGCCCCTCCGGAGCCTGGACATTGCAGAGCTCCCCCAGCCTCCATCACACCAGTACCCATCACCCCACTACCACCCAGCATCCCAGTACCACCCAGCATCCCAGTACCCCCTAGACGTTTTGTCTGCGACCCCGACCAACCCCAGCCGTCGGGGGCTGCAGGCAGGGCTGGCTGCAAGCAGGGTTGGTTGGCTGCAAGCAGGGCTCGCTGCAGGCAGGGCTGGCTGCAGGCAGGGCTCCTCGCAGGCTCGTTTCTGCCGAGCCGTCTCAGAGCCTCTCCCGCAGCAACGGCTGTAAAAGCCAGTAGGAAGCTGTAAGATAAAACACCCAGATTGTGATAAAAGAGGAAACAAGGCGAGGCGAGCTGGCGTCCTGAATGCGAGTCTTGTACGTCTTATTATCAAGTTAATTAAAGCTAGCATCTGACAATGTCACTCGGCTGTAGAAAAAGGGATTTAAATGCAGCGTCTCCCAGGACTGCGTGTCAAGGGCTGCTTTTCATTGAGCTGGTGCGAGCGCTTGGCTGGAGGAACAGCTCTCCGGATTGAAGGGGTGCCTTTAAAGAAGCAGCGATTGACAAGGAAGCAATTATTAAATTTTGATGTTCAAAAATTAAAAAAGAAAGAAGAAGAAGGGGAAAACGGCTTCTATAATTTGTGTTTTAGATGGAGAGCAATATAAAGAGATATCAAGGCCGAGAGCCATCAAAAGCCTCCCCCCCCCCAATGAAAGCTCCTCTCAAACACTTTAAGAGAGATTTTTAGAAGCTCGACAAGGATCCTAGAAACATTAAAACAGAAGTCGATTTTAAATGTGCACATTGAAATGCACAGAGCCGCTTACTACGTGGACTTGCACTTGAGGTCAAGTGACGGACGGATTGTATGCTTCTCCATAATAATATTAATTAAACAATTTGCATGCTAATAAGGTAACAATTATCAGGGCTTCTGTTGAAAGATTCAGGTTATTACAACACGCCAATCTGGAGGCCAGGGGTCAGGGAGTGAGAGGCGAGAGAAATTTCAACTCAAATTAACATTCTGTCAGCTCCAGAAAATGGGATAAATAAAGTCGAATTAATTCATTATAATAAAGAGAGAGGGAGAGAGAAAAGTCCCCCCTCTCTTGTTCTGTGCTGGATTGATTACCATTCTGTATTCAGAAACACGTCCCCCTCGCATTCCTCTCCTGAAATCCGACAGAAAATGAGGCATTTATTGCTACAGGCAAAATTTGGTCCAGTGGACACAGTTTACATTTAGTATTTATAGAGAAAGAAATTAAATTATGGTGAAAAGTGAAGCCCTTGACCCCAGAATTAATACCAACCCCATCATTTTCTTATTTCTGTTAGGGCTGCGTAGTCCAAATTCAAGCTACCTTTTAGCTCTAAGCAGAGGCAGGGAGACCATAATTAAACTAATCTATGGGGGGGAGGGAGGGAACAGCAATAATACAGCAGTATATTGTATGGCATTCAATTAGGTGAATAAATACAGCTCCGGACAGACAACATAGATTAGAGACTCGACTTCCTTTTTATTTCAATTTTAGCTTCCCCCTCTCTCATACAAACCAGCGCTGGGAAATGGATCATCTTGACTGGATGTTTTATAACTAGAACATCTATTTCTATGTTTCCCAGAGATAAAGTGTCTCTCCCTCTTTCCCCTTCCTCTCTTTTCTTTCCCCTTACTATTTATTTCTATTTCCCCCCTCCCTGCCCGCCCCCCGACTCGAAGGATTTAATTCCACACCAACCTCCCAGGAAGATTTAAAGAGTTTCCCCTGTTTGATTTTCCAGCCCGGCTCTTTCTCTCCCTCTCCTCTTTGTTAACCACTAACGCTGCTGCTCCCTCCGCTCCTCTTTTCACCTTCCCGGGAACGGGGGACCCCTCAGCCCAGGAGACCCCGAGCTCCAGTCCCAGCGGGCTTAGGGCAGAAGGCAGAGAGAAGCATCCCAAAGCATCCCAAAGCACCAGCACCCCCTTTCCTCCTCCCTTCTGGGAGCCTGGAAAGTGTTTCTCTAACCAGGCTGTGCTGGAGAGGGCACAGAACCTGGGCCCCCAGCCCCGCGCTTGGCCCGAGAACCCTCCCTTTACTTCTTACCCCATCAGTATTTTATTGGGGTGAAACTTCTACGGGATGCAATTTAATTGGGACAAATTTGGCGGCTCCTTGGAAGCTGTTAACGACTGGCGGGGCAAAGCGCGGGGTGGGGGGATAGTAAGAGGGGAGGGAACTTTGTTTGGGTTTGGTTTCCTTTTCTGTTATTATTACTATTATTATTTATTCTTTTGGGGCCTCCTCTTGGCGAACAGAGGCTGCTCCAGGTAGTGGCTGTGCTCACAATTCGAGGGTTGTGTTTGCTGCTTTGGGTCTCTGTGGCCGAATCGATAGGAGATTGCATTAATTATGATTTCGATTGATACGGTTAAATCTCCACCTAAACGCTGCAAATGCATCTTCCTTCTTCTTTTTTGCCTCCTTTCCCCCCCCATATTTTCCGTCTGCCCCCCTCCCCTTTCCCCTGTTATAGAGCCGGAGAGGAGATGAAAAGGCTTGTAGTTTTAAATTCAATGTGACAGCTCTGGAAAGAGCGGATGATGAATCTCCTATTATTGGATCAGTCTATTTGCCGCTCAATGTCTCTCTGTAATTGGAGCAACATCACTTTAAAGGTTCAGAGAGTAGAGCATTTCTGGTGAAAAATCCCCACAACACGCTGGTGAATGTTTTAAAGGGAAATCTATTAGTGATTTGGAGAGGGGAGGGGACAAGGGGGGGGAGAGGGTGGGTTGGAGGGGGGAGGCTGTGTGTCTATGTAACTCCGGCTGGTGAGTATTTAACCGGGTTTCAGGCGGATCCGTGAAGCACCCCCCCCCCGGTCCCTCCACCCCCTCCCCTGCCCGCCCCGGCCCCCGTCGCCCTCCCCGGGCTGGAGTTCGTATCAAAGCCCCCCTTGTCGTGTTGTGACAGCTCTGATATTGTTTATTGAGGCTGGATGTCAGGTATAATTAGCAATCGATATGGAAAACGTTTGCTCCCCACACTGGCACGTCTCTGACGTCAGGACCGATTAACGTTTCTTATTGGTCCCAAATTCCCCCAGCCTGAGCTAATTATCGGGAGCCCGATGTTGATAAAGTTAAAGCGCCCGGCGCCCTGCAGCATGAGCCCCTCGCCGCGCCTCCTCCTCCGGCAGCAGCACCCCCGGCCCCAGCCGCCCCGCTGCCCGCACCCCCAGCCCCGCCGGCACCCCCCGCGCTAGAGCCGCCCCCATGATGGATAGCCGCATCCTGGAGCATCCCCATGCCCAGTTCGGGGCTATGGTGGGCTTCCCTTACCCGCTCGGTCACCACCACGTCTACGAGCTTGCCGGGCACCAGCTGCAGTCGGCCGCCGCCTCGGTGCCCTTCTCCATCGATGGATTACTGAGCGGCTCCTGCGCCGCCTCCGTGGTCAACCCGGCGCCGTTGATCCCCCCCGGCTGCGGGGGGAGCGGGGACAACCAGCCCTTCAAGCTCGCAGGTAGGAGCGGCCCCAGCCCCGTGTGCCCCCCTCAAAGCCCCTACCACTGCTCCCCGCCTGGAGCGGGTCAGCACAGAGGATGGTCACCACCGCTACCCTCATCTGCTGATATTGGGGTGTCTGGAAGGGACTCAGCTGTGCTGGGCCCACCCGAGGGGCCAGGCAGAACTGGGTGGGGGGCCCGGGCCAAGCGCCGGAGCGTCCCCCCTTCCAGCTGCCGTGGGGCCACGCGTGTGCCCTGAACAATAGCGGGCCCGGCCCAGGGCCTTCCCCTAAAGTTCATCTTTGGGGTGGGGGCTCGGAGCATGACATCAAAAGCACATATGTAAAAATAATAATGGGAATGCCTGGAGTTCAGGGAATCAAGAGCGGTAATTACTATATTTCCTTTAAAAAACGATTTAACCAAAGGGAAGCGCTCTCCATCCATCCCCACCGGCCTGTGGCACCGCTATTGTTCAGCTATCAAAACACTTCGTCACCCCAACGTCCTTTTCATTAATCCCGAAGCAGTTCCCCCTCTGCACCTCAGCCTAATAAGAATTATTCCTGTTATTTGGAATTTCCACACCTGGCGGAAAACGTGAGGAGCGGAGCAGCTCGGGCTGTAACCCCCGGCCTGGGCATGTATGCACGGGGGGGGAGGCTGTGAGAACCTCAACCCGCACCCACCCGTATTCGAGGGGTCTGCGGGAGGGCTGGGGCCTCCCTGCCCTCTGGTCCCATTGGGACCGGGCCATGAGCTGCTGGGAAAAGGGGGGGAAACGGGAAGGGAAACGGGGGCTTTTAATATTCTATTAATTAAAGCTTTGGTGGCTGGAGCAAACGCTGGAACTTCTCTTTCTCTCTCTGCCAGCTGAGTGCCTGTGGAGAGCTTCCTTCAGGAATAAATGTTCTGTAAAGTACATTTTCGGAGGAGGCGAGGGCAGATCGGGTTCCTCCCCATTTTTAGCGCAGGTGTGTGAATAATCCCGCTCTTTTTTTACCAACGCTACCGAGCACAAAAGTTAAAAGGCTCCTGTGAATGGCAAGGAGGGGGGGAGAAGGCCTCTTTTCCAGGGAGCTGAGGGTATTTCTGCCTTTTCAGACTCGGGTGACCCGGACAAAGAAAGTCCTGGCTGTAAAAGAAGACGAACCCGCACCAATTTTACCGGCTGGCAGCTCGAGGAGCTGGAAAAGGCGTTTAACGAGAGTCACTACCCGGACGTGTTTATGCGAGAGGCTCTGGCGCTCAGGCTGGATTTAGTGGAGTCCAGAGTGCAGGTAAAACCCACATCTCCCCCTCCCTCCGTTCCTGCCCTCTCTCCGCGCCGACCGGCCCCGGAAGGGGGGTCCCATAGCCCCGCTCTGGGACGGGCCCTGTGCGCCTGGGCCCGCGGCTGCGCTCCTCCGGCCCTCTCCTTTTGTTTCCCTGCTGGTTTATTTTCTTCTTCTATTTCCCTTCTATTTATCGATTTATCTTGCAAACGAGCCCCGAAAAGCGGCATCAGAGCCTGGCTTCCCCAAGCCTGTTTAAAATTATTATTAATATATATATTTGCACTGTAAAATTTTTCCTTAAATGAACTAAGGGAGGAAAAAACTACCATGCAAATACGAGGTTTCATCACTGGGGTATGCTGGACAATGTCAATAAAACTCGTAGGCGTATCGAGAGCGTGTGGAACTTGTAAAACTTAATTTTAACGAGCTGCCCGGGCTCTCTGCCGTGCGGGATGGGGTGCGAGGACCATGTAGTTGCTTCAGTGGATCCTGGGAAAAATAAAACGGGAATGGGACGGGGGACGCGGCTGCGATGCGGGTTGCCTGTTGGGTGCACAGACGCTGGTTCGTGCCGCCGTGGCTGCGGGCGGTGAGGCCGAGCTGGTGCTGGTGCTCCGTCTCCTGTGAGCTCAGTGTGAGGGGAATATGTCCTCCAACGCACTTCGGGCCGTGGGGTCGGCGCTCCCGGGGCGAGCTGCAGTCTTGTGCCGCGGTCCCTCCGTCCGCTTTGTCTTACGGCGTCTTTCTGAGCCGTCGTTACCTCCCCGCGCCGCAGCTCCGCCGTGCCCAGGGGCCTGGGAGTTTGCCGGGCTCGGTAGGGGGAAGGAGTCGGGATCGGGCCACCGATATCCTCATGATGCTCCCGTGGTCGCTGCCGGCAGCCCCTATGGGCCGAGGCTCCCTCGGGCGCTGTGGGAACGCGTGGACTGCGCGGCTGCGGACGCACCGGGGAACCGCCGGAGCAGAGAGGATTTAAATCAAATTTATCCTTAATTTCTCCCGGAATACAGAACAAACCCGGTTTCGGGCTGATCCAACCGCTCTGCTCCGGTGCTCGGAACGGGCAGCGGTACCAGGTTCCTCTCCACCCGGGCGAGAAAACACCCCCTCCCCTACCTTTGGCCCGCTCATTGTGCTGCGATTTGCGCGCTACTGCGGATTGATGTCGCCCTGTCCCGCAGGCCGGGGGGCTTCTGCACCCCTAGGCTGCGGGGAAGAGCCGGGGCGGGGGGGGAGGTTTGTGTGTGACACCTTCCCCTCCCTGTGGCACCGGTGCGGGCAGGACACAGCGTGTGTGTGCGTGAGTGTGCATCCTGCTCCCCTTGCTTTTATGCTTCTACCCTGTTAAAGAAGTGTGGATATCTCTTCCTGCCCCCTCCCTTGCTCTCCGTCTCGCAGATGCTCGGTCCTGTGGATGGGGGCTGCCGGCACTTCGAGGGTTGGAGGGGGAGGCCTGATCTGCGCTTCAGCCCTTTGCCCCCCCCCTACCCCGGCCACCGCGGGGGGCCGGTGCGCTGGGTGTTAATTGCTTCTCGTTGTTCGGTGTGTAGGTCTGGTTCCAAAACCGCCGGGCCAAATGGAGAAAGAAAGAGAACACGAAGAAGGGCCCGGGGCGGCCGGCTCACAACTCCCACCCCACGACGTGCAGCGGGGAGCCCATGGACCCCGAGGAGATCGCCCGCAAGGAGCTGGAGAAGATGGAGAAGAAGAAACGCAAGCACGAGAAGAAGCTCCTCAAAAGCCAAAGCCGCCACCCGCACTCTCCCAGCGCCCTCTCCCTGCACAGCACCCCCAGCTCCGACAGCGACAGTGGCGGCGGGGGAGGCCTCTCACCCGCCCCGCCTGAGGCCAAGCCCCGCGGGCAGCCCCCGCCGCCGCACCCGCCGCCCTCCGCCGCCGCCGCCCCCTCCGAGCCGCCCCCCGGCACCTGCGACCAGACGGCAGAGCCCTTCTACCCCAGCCAAAGAAGCGGGAGCGGGCGGCTCCAGCGTCCGCCCGACAAGGACTGCGCGGCCGCCCCGTCGGGGGACGGCAGCGGAGGTGCGGGGGGGCCCCGCAGCGCCGGCAGCTTCCACAAGCTCAACCCCTTCAGCGTGGAGAGCCTCCTCTCCGACTCACCCCCACGCCGCAAAGCCGCCCCGGACTTCCCCAGCCTCCCGCCCTGCGCCCCCCGCACCCTCATCGGCAAAGGACACTTCCTGCTCTACCCCATCACCCAGCCCCTGGGCTTCCTCGTCCCGCAGACTGCCCTCAAGGCCAGCCCGGGCCCCGAGGCCGGTCAGCCCCCCCGGGACTCCCCGCTGCCCGCCGCCAACCCCGGCCCTCCCGGCTGCGGCGCGGAGCCGGCGCCCGCCGGAGCCCAACCCGGCCCCGGTTCCACGGACTCGGCGGCGGGGCCGGTGCCTCCTCCACCGCCGGCCGGCGCCTCGCCCCGCTCCGTGACCGCGCACGGTGACCCGGCTGCGGCCGCCCCGGCGGAGGGCGGCAGCTTCCCCCGGCCCGAGTCGCCGGTCCGGGCGAGGGACGGCAGCACAGCCAGGGACAGATCGGACTGCGGCCCTGGCGGCGGCGAGGAGGTGGACATGGACTGACCGGGAGGAAAATAGCTGAGGAAGAAAGAACAAAACAAAGCAAAAGTAAAAGCACCGGCGCCCACCACCCCTGAGAAACAGGGGCCCCACTTCCCCCCGGCACCG